CCTCATTTTGAAAGATGAACAAACCTCAGCGCTTGTTTTCATCACTTCTCCATTGACTTTCAGTTCAAGCGTATTCGCTCTGGATCGTATAATGGTGCCGTCTTCAAGTTGTAGATCAATGGTATTGCGGCGAGACGAAACGTCGCCTTCTTTTACCTTTGAAGAACTAGTGGTATGATTAAAAATGCTGCTTTCCGAAGCTATAGAGCAAAACAACTCATTTTTGTCTCCATTAATTATCGTAAACAAAATAACTACCACATTTATCAAAGTGATGCTGAAATCTCATGTTTTCTGTGGAAAAAGTTCAATTAAAAGTGCTTTCTATGCGGGAATGCAGCTAGCTAGCGGAATGTTCTAGAAAAGACTGATGTGGAAGTTAATCAAAGTTGTAAGTTCTTAGAAGGAATATTTGCAAAAGTTGGTATTTTAGCTCTCGAATAAAAGATGCCCTTTGAGCAAAATATGTAATCCATTAGCGTTATGTCAGCTGACCAGATCTGACTTCCTTGTCTACAAAATGGCTGCATGAAATGTTATTATTGCCTACATACGAAGCTCTCCTTTAATTTTGTAGATTAACTTATGTAATCCCGCAAGTGATACCTTGCTTGTGTAGTCATTGAGGATTCCATTGAGCGCTTACCACTGCTGGTTACGCAAGATATCCCTTCTAGCATTTATCATAGACACTTAGGTTCTGATATGTGTTCAGAATAGAATTTTGAAGTTTTTCCAAGGAACTTTATAAGAAACCAATTTCAAAGTCAGCCGCTTGAGGTATATTTGCATTTCGTTATAAACTTCCATTTTGACTAAAAAAAGGTACGCTAGTACCCTAGTTTGATTGCAGAGAAAATCTATTTTTGGGTTCTAATTTTGTTAAATTATTGGTGATGCTATGTAAATTTAGCGAAATAACTTTTTTTGCTCCTTAGTTATATTTTCTGACTATTAAGCATAGACATGGTTAGCATTCTCTTATGTACAGTGATGAAGACCTTTGAACAAGAAAATAGAAGTTTTTAAAAAACACAACAAAGTGATTTCTAACATTTAGAACAGTAGATTTCAAAAGTTGACTAGGCAGCGTAAAAGTCGAGCGGAGTTCAAGGAAAGAAGTTTGAACTCCCAATGGGCTGTCAGTGCCCATTTATTCTCCCAAATTAAACATAATGACATAGTAATGAATGAAAGTGCACCCGCTAGAATCAATATCTGTACTATAAGAACCTCTAATGCCTTTTCATGTTTTGAATGGTTGTTTGAATTGGCATGATATATTTCAATAAAACAGTTCACTTAAACAAAGACTAGAGTTCAAAGTGATGTTGCTCTTTCCGCCCTTCAGTAGGCCAATTTTAGAATTTTTATTCATATCCCCAGAAAGAAGAGTAGCAACGAAAGTACGACTGCATTTCAAGGTTTCCTTAGGTCATCCAAAAATTGACTAAAATCTTTGACATTCAAAGGATAGTATAACCTTCAATCGGTATTTGGCGCAATCTGTTACTATTTATCTGTAAATGCCTATTTATTATGATATCCTTTCCTTATTGTTTCGTAGTGAGAGAAAATCTATTTCCTATCGGTCATTCGTAACCTTTTGCTTTTCATTGGGATTCTCCAAAACAAATACATTTGGAGAATATCTGATAGCAGCCCGGCAGAGAGTTATACTCTCTAAGGACTAATAAAATCTCGTCTTCCAAGTTCGACTGCATGCAATATTTTAATAGTCTTATCGAGATCTCCCATGAAATGGAGGGCTTACTGCCAAACAAAGAAAATAATAAAAAATGATGGGAGTATTGAAGGGGACTTGCTCTCATTAGGGGAAGGATTGCAGAAAAGCATGTTTTTAGGAGAATTTGCCGCCAGCTAGAAAATTAAATCATATTTCTATCGTTTTCGCAAAAGCTACAATTTCCATTTATAACGTCGGCCTAACTTAGGAAAAAGAGGAATTTTCATTGCACGATGTCACACTGAAGCAAATCGGAGAGAACCTTTGAGAATTTGTAGCTATAATAAAGGCTGAAATGCTTCATATAAGTAGGAGTTGTGCATATATGCATGAATTTGTTATGAACTACAAAGGAGATTTAATTAGCTGTATGATGCGAGACAATTTTTACTTATGATCGTTACGACTATTTATGAGGTCCCATGCTTGTAAGATTGCCTTTGTTTGAGCGAAGTTTAGCTTTAGGCTAAATCGATGAGCATCGATTTCAGAAGAGGCATCTGCGAAGTCGATAGACATAAGTTTTAACTCTTGACGTAACAAGGTAAGGGATTTCCAAGAGCGCGTTGTCAACAAATGACTTCAGCAAACTTCAAGCGAATGTGCATTTTAGGCTTGCAGCTTTAGAAGTTGAGTTTTCATTAAAAATTATGAAATATTATGAAT